GGAACCTCTCAAAGTCATTTCAATATCCTATTCGACAAGTCTGAAGAAGAACGATGACTAAAATTCAAATGTTTATTTCCCTAAACCTTCAAAATAATTTCGTAATATTTTATTCGAAGCGGAGTATTCCAAGTCAGTATCGATAATTGAAGAAATTATTTGATTGTATTTAAAAGAACCGAAAGGAGAATATTTAAAGTCTGATATTAAATGTCTAGCAAGTACCAGTAATTGGTAAAATGATTTATATTTGTTTTAAAAGGAAAATTTCTAATAGGTATTAGTTAAAATGAATTGTTATTCAGTCTATTGTATTGAAATTCTAATTGATTCTAATGTATACAAGTGTTACAAGAAGGCTGAGTGTGTACAGGGTGGACATAGGCTAGCTAGTAGCCCCCGACCACTCTATTCACATCTCAGAACCTTCAGGTCAAAATACGCCGCGAAGTGTCTATGGCCCAGTATAAAGGGTGAATAAATTCGCCGGACATCGGCGGGTCCTTATATACCTGCGGTACCCTCTCCCCAAAGTCATTAGCAAAATCGTCCGTTAGGTCAGGCGGGAAATTTTCGCGGGAGATTTTCGCGGGAGATTTCCGATATCGTAACACGGTATAATTTATCAATTTTCACAATTTTGTTATAAATTTATACTTCCGACAATTTGTTATAACATTGCATATAACAATTTATACGTTTTTACAATATTCTTCAATGGAAACATAGGTTTTAGCGTTCTCGTTACTTACTCGTGGTTAAATTAATTTCGTAGGGATTAAAAATCAGGTTGACCTGTGGTCGTAGATTAAAAATAACCATAGTACAGCTAAATTTATCGTGTTAAATAATTCTTTTTACACGAATCAACAATGTATTCAACGTTTGTTTGTTATAATATCGTGAAATGTATTATTTGTGCAGTTCTGTGCATTTTCTGTGCAGTTCAACCTAATTTACTAAAATTCACATTGCGAGTCAGTATACTGTAACAAGTAGTAACAAGCAAACGTTGAGTAAATTCCTAATTCGTATTAAAAAAATTATTTAACACAATAATTTCAGCTTTATTATGATTATTCTTGATAAATGACCACAGGTCAACTTGATTTTTAATCGTTATAATCTTTAAATTCAGTGTGAATAGAGAAAATGTGTAATATAATTCATTTCACGATATTATAAGAAGCAAACGTTGAATACATTTTTGATTCGTGTACAGAGAATTATTTAACACGATAAATTTAGCTGTACTATGGTTATTTTTAATCTACGACCACAGGTCAACCCGATTTTTAATCCCTACGAAATTAATTTAACCACGAGTACTTAAGGAGAACGCTAAAACCTATGTTTCCATTGAAGAATACTGTATAAACGTATAAATTGCTATATGCAATGATATAACAAATTGTCGGAAGTATAAATTTATAACAAAATTGTGAAAATTGAGAAATTATACCGTGTTACGATAACGGAAATCTCCCGCGAAAACTTCCCGCGAAAAGTAATCGGTTTCCCGCGAAAAATAGTCGATTCCCGCCTGACCTAACCGACGATTTTGCTAATGACTTTGGGGAGAGGGTACCGCAGGTATATAGGGACCCCCCGATGTCCCGCGAATTTATTCACCCTTTATACTGGGCCATAGACACTTCGCGGCGTATTTTGACCTGAAGGTTCTGAGATGTGAATAGAGTGGTCGGGGGCTACTAGCTAGCCTATGTCCACCCTGTACACACTCAGCCTTCTTGTAACACTTGTATACATTAGAATCAATTAGAATTTCAATACAATAGACTGAATAACAATTCATTTTAACTAATACCTATTAGAAATTTTCCTTTTAAAACAAATATAAATCATTTTACCAATTACTGGTACTTGCTAGACATTTAATATCAGACTTTAAATATTCTCCTTTCGGTTCTTTTAAATACAATCAAATAATTTCTTCAATTAGCGATACTGACTTGGAATACTCCGATTCGAATAAAGTATTTCGAAATTATTTTGAAGGTTTAGGGAAATAAACATTTGAATTTTAGTCATCGTTCTTCTTCAGACTTGTCGAATAGGATATTGAAATGACTTTGAGAGGTTGCCTTTTCGTTACTTTTCTTCCAGCAATTGAAATTAATTTGAAATTTTTCTTTCAGTATCCTTGTGGAACTTGTAACGAATGCTGCTCCTAATTCTTAACACTTGCTGTAAAATTATTAGTTTTTGCATTTTAACAAAGTGAATTAATATTCCTAATTCTTATAAAATTATTAATAAACGTGAAATATTCTTGTAACGGTAATCTTATGAGAAATACTCGTATAATTCTGAAATTTTTGCTTACATGTTATAACAATTGTAACGTTTACGTTTTGCTGTTTCGCAGTGTTTTCTCTGTGAATTCTATGTTTCGAATTTATTTCAAGCTAAAGTAACGTCTGTGTACTGCAGTTCAACCTAATTTACTTAAATTCGAATTACGATACAGTATATTTACAATTCTACCTGAATTTTCGAAATTATAAACATCACCAGTAAACTTCCATTGCATGTAAACAATATTCTCCACTAATCGGTAATTATAAAGTAATTATAAAGCAATTATAAAGTAATTACCGAAAAATATACACTTACATTCTCATGTTGGATCATTTACCTCTCTTCTTCTCGTCTGTTCACACATTCTCTCTAACTCTCCCAATTTCGTTATCCAAGTAATTTATTCAAAGCGATATATTATGAAATTAAATTAATCACTCAATAAGTTTTAACGTTAGATTGTTTCCTCGATATGGCCATGGTGGTCATCAGTGACTGGAGTGCCTCAAATGTTTAGAATAATTAAAATGAAGTAAATATTGTCAACTAAAGATTTTGAACGTCATAACTAGCTAGACATTATTTTCAATTGAAAAAAAAAATTATAAAGCATAATACTATAATCCTATGCTTAAAATGTATTTTTTTTTGTGGCCGCCTGACAGCAACCTGTAAATCTGGCGTGACAGTGAACGTGTTAATATGTTGTTCAAATTATATCGTGTTTGATATCATTTTCATCAGAAAAATTTCACCAACATGTTAAAAAAAATTCCAGATGAAAAAAAGTAAAATTAAAGAAATTATATTTTTCTATTATGATTTGGGGAGCCGTGTAATTTCGTAAAGGAAACCGACTGGTATAGCGTTACACGCTTGACTGACTGCGAGCGAGATAACATGGGCGCAGCAATGACGCAGCCTAGGCGTAGGACCATCTATACTGTCATTTGTAGAATCCAAACTTACTGACTCTTGTAGAGAATTTACTGTATTTAGAATCAAAATCGAGAGTGCAATAATAAATCATTTCCGTTTTTCTATTCTAATAATTTCCCTACTTTAACATTGAATATTACAATATGCAAAAGCTGTACCAACTTGTATGTTTAACATGAAATTTTAGTAGCAAATGGAGGCGAAGAAAATATATCTGCATCGTAGGAAAAAGACGTATACTCGTAAAAAAATATCTTCCAACATTTTCTTGAAAATGTTTTTACTATTATGGATGAAAATGAAGATGTGAGTTATATGCAAGTCGTTCTACTGGATACTTCTTAAGAAACAACATTCTGCATCAAAAATGACAAATAGTTCATGAGTAAAGGACAACAGACAGTTGTAATAATTTAAAGAGAAAACAATAATCTGATTAATATACTTTCAGTATTTCCTTAAATTTATACATTTAATGGGTGCATGTGTTTTAAATTAATTTATATAAGATACTCGACTATTTTTCTCTATTAATATTTCTCCTGCACTTAACAAGAACTTATGAAGCAATTAGGAAAGTGAATTATTAATATCGAATAACTCAAATTTACCTTTGCATCTAGTCAGAGTAGTAATGACATAAAAAAAAGTAATTCAGAAAGAACGTTGGTGTGTGTGCGCGCGCGTATAAACGAAAGTGATCTTCATATTTCCATGACACCATCAATTACAAAGGACAAAATTAGTGAACTACCCTGTATAACTTAAGGCTTATATTTAAATTGCTCAACTATATTCCTTACCCAATTTCAATTTTTCCCTTGGGAATTCCCACTTTTTGTCGTAAGGAAGCAACTCTGCCTGGTCGTCTACAGTCAAATCTGGATTCAAGCATTCCACTGCTCCTTCCTCGAAATGCATCAGTCCTGCTTCCATTAACTCTTTTCTCATTATCTGAAATATTGAAACATAAAACATTAGACATTTTTACTATTTAATGGATTAATTAATGATTAATAGTTATTATTGTTGAGGTTTCCGGATGTAAGCCGTGTCCCTGTGGAAAAAGTGTTCAGAGGTTTCGCATGCATTACAGCTCACTTTATCAGAGTTCAAATCATCTGATTATCTAATATCTCATTATTTAAATGCCCATGTCCCGGTTCACTGCTTTCCAATCAGAGAGGGTTTTAATTGGTTAGCTGAGCGATTAAAAAACTGAGAGGAGAGAGCTCCAGATTAGGTTCAATTGATATCCTGTATCCCTAATGATGTTATTAGGGTATTTCATAATCTCCAACGTTTCCCTATATACTCTGGGGAAATATCCTTTTGGTTTAGGAATAACTTTAGTTTCGTCGCAAATAATTTTATGCCCTATTGTTACTTGACTATGACTACTGAATGTAGCCCAATTTGCTCCATTACTCATATTCCTTTAGTCGTGTGCTCACATTCCTTCCATTTTCATCAATGTAGACCTTTCCGTATGAGCAAAGTATTCTGTAAATACCTATCGATGAAAGTTTTGGTTGTGGATCCTTGGGGAAAGTGAACAAACATGAAGAGATGATCCTTAATATTCTGCTAATACAGTTTGTTGTCCTTTGCATGTAGGATAGGAAAGTTGTGTAAATGTTATTGTCATTATCTGAAGAATACACTCTGTCCTTGGAGTGTATGATCCTGCCGATTGTGCGGTCTATTTTTAATCTGGACAAACCGTTTTGTTGTAGGGTAGATCTGGCGTGATAAAGTTCTTGAGGCGAATGTTCCCCTTCACAGATGGTGATCGCTCCATGTATTAGAGAGTTGATTATGTACTAAATTTCAATAATGCATCTTCGCTAGACACACACCACTATCAGTGTGTCACTTAAACCCTGATAAAGTGAGCTGCAATGCTTACGAGACGTCGGAATACTTTTTTCACAAGGACACGGCTTAAACTCGAAAGCATCAGCAATAGTAACTACGAAATCTTTAATGATTAATATTTCGAAATTACCTTTTCGCGACGGACTTTGATTGTAAAATAAATCAGTATAATTATAACTGTGATCAACAGGATGACGATTAATATGATCATCTCTTTAGGGAGAGCCTTTCCTGTAAATATCAAAACATTGAAGACATATCGAAAGAAGTCGGTCGTTTCATATTTTATAATTAAATAAATTACCTTTTACAGTTATTATAATGTAGTCTTCAATGCTTCCAAAACGATTGTTTACTCGACACGAGAATTTTCCACTGTCAGTTTCTCGTAAATACTTTATATGCAACTCTTGATTGTCATAGATACAAAAATATTGATCAGTCTTGTTTATTGCTTTATTATCCTGTAAAAAATATACAATACGTATATCAATTTAATTTATGTCAATATTACACTTAATAGTTTTGCGTAACACACACTAATTTCTAATGTAATTAATTTTTTCTTAAATTTGAATGTTTCAATAATGTTTTTTTTAAATCATACATGTGGATGATTTAAGCAAATGATGCACATTTTTGAAAAAGCCATGTAAACATAATACTAATATACATACACTACCGGCCAAAAGTTTGGAATCATCTCCCACTTTTCATCAATATTAAATCTGCTGTTAATTTTTTATAGATTTGAAGTTTATCTCAATTCTACATTTATCAATTGATTCGAATGATAAAAAATTCTCAAAGTCGCTGACTTTTTTCTGTAAATTGCAATACTCGGTGATTCCAAACTTTTGACCGATAGTGTATATAGTATATCATAGTTTATGCAGTAAGTTAAACTGATTAATTTCTGGGTTGTTTGAATTTTGATATATGTGAAATTATTGTATAATCTTTTAAATGATATAAATACTATGAATTGTAACATTTACAGTAAATATTAGTTATTCGAGTGCTGAATACATATACATATATTGTTGATTGATAAAGCTTTTAGAATATAAACAATTCTTTTATTATTATCAAAGACTTACCTTGTACCAAGCAACATTTGGTTTAGGCATTCCACCCACAACACATTTGAGTATTATCGTTTCGTGGCCTTGTGTGTCTAAATCGATCACGGTTTCATTTTTATACATATTTCTTTCCTTGAAGTAAGGTGGTTTTGAGTCTAAAAAGAAGAGAAATTGTTAAGTGTAGGTATATTAGACTGACACATACGTTATAATTATACAGTATACAGTGCATGGTGTACGAGCAAGCATAAGGTGATTCCTCTTGAAAAGTAAAAGTAAAATGTAAAAAAAGTAAAATTGAAAATGTAGAGTAATGTTTCTAATTAAAAGCTAGTAGAATTTAACAGTAACAGCACGTTAGATTTGGATATGATTCTAGATAACTTAAAAAAAATACCCTACTGCATTATTATATACCTTTACATGTATTATGTGATACTCACCACGCACGTTTAAAAAATAGTCCATTTCTTCCTTGTTACTACACGTGTAAGTTGTCGAATCTGCTTTCGTTATATTCTTTATTTTCAAAATAGAACGATAAGTGAATCGAGTCTTCGTCTCGTCGATCGTTAATCTATCTGAATAATGCAAAACCGATCGATTAAACGAAATAACTCTCAACTTTCTTCAAATCAGGATTGAAATTAAAGATACTTACTACTATGTTCGATGGGAGTATTATTTTCGTATTTCCATTGAAAGTTATTCGTGTAATTGTAAATAGATGCTGCGCATATTAGTTCCAAATCGTCACCCTCGGTCAATGGCTGTGTCGGCTCAATTATACCGAAACCACCCTTACCATCTATGTTTCCAAAGCAGAATAAAATCATATCAAAGTGTATAATGATCAAGAAACAACAAATTTTCATTTTCTTTTTTGTTAATTTTCGATTTTTGACAATGAATTGAAATTTATCATTCTGAAAATTTCATAAATTTTAAAACTATTGTTTTAACTTTCAAACGATAATATTGCTGCACTCTTGTGTGCCGTTTCATGGTATAAAATAAAACCAGGTTAACCAACGCTCTCCTGGATAGCGCAAGTTAAACTTTTTACAAAATACGAGATTGGAAATTGTAGTAAGTATAATACAAAGAGCTACATATTTCGTTTCAATGAGAACCAATCTCAAAGAATATCTATTTCATGGCTGTGCAAATCAGAATCTTTTCTTAAGGAATATTTTGAGATAAGTTGCACTTTTTTAAATAATATGTGGTATATCTTTTTCATCAAGTAAAAAAATAAAGGTTCTTGTGAGATTTTAATGCACTCAATAGTGTTAATTTGAAAATGTTTGCGGTCATAAAGAACGATTTCAGAAGCCGTATTAAAAAACGTATCAATTTCTATATAAATTGACACATTTGATGGGACACTAATTTATTTTACAGATAAGATCATAAAATTTTAAGGAATAGCAGCATAATTTTCTTACCAGAGACCAAAATGGTTTCCGTTTGAGATTCGCATCCGATAATGTTGCACGCTGTGCAAGTAAGATCGCCGCTCATTTCGATGGTCATAGTCACAGTCGAACGGAACCTGGTACTCATTCCGCTTTCTTTTGTGTTCTGCATAAAAGTCCCAACCTCTCGTTATGAACAGTCATTATGAAGAATCAATCGATTCACAGTGCTACGATAAAAAATTTTCACAACCCAAGAACATTGGGTACTGATGATTTTTCGAGCGTCACAATTCTTTATGCATTGAAATTCAAGAGTAACCTTACTTTACAGAAATCAATCAGTAATTTCCATAGTAACAAAAGCGATAATGACTTAGCTAAATGGTTCTTAAACAAAATAAAAAAAAAAAGTAGGGATCAACGTATATAATCTTGGAATACTATGAACAAATTTCGAAAACCATTTGTAAGATTTTCTCGCTCTTCTCTTTTCTCTCGATTTGTAGATTTTAGCGTAAGAAATAAAAGCCTAACATTAGTAATTGCGAGAATGTACCTTAAGGGCACATCCGTGGTTTGTCAAAAGCGAAAGTCAAATGAAAAGAAAAATGATAATGCATGAAATATGAAAATCGTTCGAAAACTTAGGAATATATGCAAATTGTCAATAGTTTAATATTTTATCGACGTGTGTTACGAAAAGTAACACGTTTCATTCGTCTTATGAAGAACAGCACGTGCCAGTTTGTTACGTAAAGGAGCATATTTTGCCACGAAAAGTAGCATATTTGAGTGATTGACTACGAAAAGAGGCATGTTTAGCTTTATACCGCAACAACCCACAAGATTTGATTTTCTTTTTGGTCCATGTAATTGAGATATGATCGAATCTGATCTAATCAGAACTTTGTCCTGATCGTAATACAGTAATGTCTCCACAAGTGTCAGTCCGTAAGGAACCTAAATCTGACACTTGTAGAGTCAGGGACTACGTTTTCGAGCCTCGAGCCCGCCTTTGTAGTTTGCCGAACGTAGACAAGGACAGCGAATAAAAGATAAGGATGAAACGTGGGTCGAGGCAACCAAGCGATTTAAATACCAACTTTTTTAATTTTACGTTTTTTTATCCCGAAATTTTTCTTAACATATTGATGAGATTTTTCTGATGAAAATGACATCAAACACGATATAATTTGAACAACATTTACTTATTAACACGTTCACTGTCACGCCAGGTATTTCACTGTATTGAGATAAAACAGACGCCCTGTATTACATTACATAGAGTCGGCCTACCGTTTGACTGCCAGTTGGAGAATTGGCCTACCGTTTGACTGACACTTGTAGAATCGGCCCTACATTTTTTTTTTTTTTACGTGGAGGTTGGCCGACATTAAATTAATTACTCAATAAGTATTAATAAGTAAATGTTGTTCAAATTATATCGTGTTTGATCTCATTTTCATCAGAAAAATCTCACCAACATGTTAAAAAAAATTCCAGATGAAAAAAAGTAAAATTAAAGAAATTATATTTTTCTATTATGAATTGTCGAGCCGTGAAATCTCGTAAAAGAAACCAAGTGGTGTAGCGTTACATGCTTGATTGACTGCGAGCGAGATAATATAGGCGCAGCAATGACGCAGACCTAGGCGTAGGACCATCTATACTGACACCTGTAGAATCCAAACTGGCTGACACTTGTAGAGACATTACTGTATACAGTATTCCACGCTTAACTGATGCAGGCTCGGGTTCATGTCACGACTACTATCGAGGGAGGTAGGTATTCCGGAAATTACCGGCTGTTATCTGTCCTTGGTTCGTTCGCTTCTTGAGTGCATCAGCGAAAAAAGCGAGAAACGTTTTCATATTTTTTTCATTTTGGAGATTAGATAGAGTTATTGTTCGTTAAACAATATTTTGAAGGTTGAGTTTTTCGATACAAAATGCATCTCAACAATTTAAACTACCATTCGTAACGAATGTCGTTATATACCTACACGATGAGATAATAATTTTGTTTTCTTAAAATATTTGCATTTCCTACTTTTAGAGAGATATATGTATAGTCCTCATTTTACTTCTTTCTTTCATACTGACTTGTGAATGGCTATCTACAATAAGTTGCTGAAATCGTTTAAGCACCAATTATTGCAGGAAATATAAAAAAGTAGGTAATATGTATTACGTAAAAAATGGAGGTGAAAAAATTATTGATAATATTGTTACCTTCTTCATACTGTGGGAGTGGAAGTGAGAGCGAGGGTGAAGGAGAGAAAGAGAGGGCCCGCATTAGCTGCGTGTGTGTGTGAATTGTGGGGGTTTGGTATGAAAGAGTGATGTGAGAGAGTTGGTGTGAATGGCCTGGAAAGGAAGAACGAATGGAAGCGATTGTGCGTGGCGTGTTTGTTATGTTTAGACACATGGGTGTCAAGCCAATCGCGGCGTGTGTGAGTGTGTGTATGTGGATGCGTGCGCGGAGAAAAGGAGGAAGAGTGTGTAAAAAAAAAACGAGAAGCATCAAGCCGGAAGAGAACGAATCGGAGCGGCGGCGAGAAAAAGGAGAAGGACATAGGTGAACAGCACCGGCGTCGCGTGGGGTTACTTTGATTATAATAAACGCAAAAGTATTTAACAAAATCTCACAATACTATACGACGTTACATGAACAATATTTTTTCGTAACTTTGAAAGTAGCGAACAAAACAGTAGACACTTTTAAATAATTTTTTCAAGAAAGGTACTAAAGATAACTCTATACTTTTTAATAAAATGACGTCGTTTTAAAGAAAAATAATTTTTTTAGGAAGATAATTGATTTTACATGCATTAAAAGGAAACATAGTGAAAATTTTGAATATTAGTTGTTGAAGTTTTTGCATCGTCGTAAATAGAGTGCATTTTTATACGATACAATTATCCTACATGTATATACAGTGCATACACAGTAAATAAATATTTTCTTATAGTATAAGTGTCATTTAATACATAGAAAAAAATCGTAGAATAATCTTTAATACTTAAAAAAAAAAATTAGTAAAAAAAAATTTAATTAGCCTTTTCTACAAGGGCATTACGTACCGTTAACTCTATGCTGTCCGCGTCTTCATGAGAGGGATAATAAGGACATTTCACGAAAGTCCACCTGATGGTTGGTGATGGAAACGTTGCTACATCACAGGATATTTCTGCTTGCTGATTGGGAGTGTAATAAGAGTCCACCTTTAACATTGGTACAGGTTTCACTGAAATCAATAATAACAGAAATTTAATTGCATTTTTCGATCATGTGAAATGGAAATATATATATATACCTAATACATCTAGCGTAAAGTTCAGCATCTCGATTCTATCAGCATTAGAGGCCTGAAGAGAATATTCTCCCATATCGTCGATGTTTAAATGATTTATCCTTAAAATCGACGAGGAGGTCGTCGACTTTATCGCATATTTCACCTTTTCCGCAAAATCCCAACTTGCTATAATCTCCTCCCCCTTCGTATTTAACCTGAAATAAAATAATTATTAACGAAATAAGAGTATCCTATGAAGAGATAAAAAAGTAATACATTAAAAAGTTGCAAAAAATATGCTTGTTAAATTTGCTAGATTTTATTTCAAGAGAACATGTAATTACTTTTGTGAAAAACATATTTTACATATTTTAAAAATTTGGTAAATTTTAATATTCTCTATAATCATAAATTTAATTCAGATGATGCAGTGTACAAATTATTTTTGAGCAACAAGTGATTACGGAAACAATATTTGAATAATAAAATCTTGCAGCAACCAGATATAAGTTGCTAGGTAGAATCACTGGCTGCGAGAGTATTAATAGCTTGTCAAAGAAATAAAATTTGAAAATAATTTTTTGTGAAAATTAAGTATTTTTGCCATATTAATTTGTTAAATATTTGTCATTTGAAATAAGTGCCAAAGAAAAATCATTTCAATAAATTTCAGTTCTGTTAAAAATCATTGTTATCCTAAAATAATTAAAATCATTAATATTTTTTCATGTAAAATTGTATAACTATTTTCATATTATAGAATTACAATATTTAAATTTGCTTTAAACATGTTTTTAAGCTACATTTATAAAAAATTCTTGCCAAAAATCATTCACGCTGTAAAAGAATCAATCTGTTTTGTGTGAATTTTTTCACACTTCGCATCATAAAAAAATGGGTAATTGTCGTCTAGTAATGATATTCTAATTAAAGGTATTACCATTTCAATTTGGGGTCTGGATAAGCATCCACGTATACAACCCACTGTACTTTATCACCTTCTCCACGTTGATAATGTCTGTCGTTATCCTGAGCTGTTAGGTTGATAAATTTGTTCTCTGGATCTAAAAATGTACATTTAAAACGGTTTTTAGTAAAAAATAGAGCAACGACCTACGATTACATTTTCTTTTAAGTGTAGTAACTACGCATCAGAAACTTTTGGATTAACGCAACAAGCTTATAGTGATTGTTATCTTTCTATTAACTTATATGTATATGTATGTATTTAATTTTATAATGTACATTCAGTCTTACATCACTATTATTACACTACCCATCGCAGGCACGCGAAACATAACCCGATCTATCGGCACACAACGTACAAAACGCACATGGCACACCATGCCTGTCAGCCACCAGATAAAGAAGGGCTGACCGGGGCCCACGATGCTCACCTCATTGGCGCGAGGATATCGACTTCCTGGCGCGAACTTCACAATGATCAATGTATATCTAAGAGTATTATATGTATATATGTATACATACGAGCAATATGGACGTTTCCACGACGATCGAAAATCATTAGAAGATGACCAAAAAAGTTGATGTCTTTGCAGAAGCAACATCGACTAACCTTCTTGGTAAAGACCGACGTTTAAGGTATATAATGATAGCTGAAGAATCGACCATTAACAAAACAGTAGTTCACACTATTCTTCGTGATATCGTTAGCTACAGAAAAATGTGTGCGAAGTTTGTTCCTTATTTTCTCACAGCAGAGCAAAAAGAAGTGCCTGTCTCTGCGTTCCAACATTTTGTCGATATGGCGAATCTCGATGGAAATTTCCTTAATAGAATAATAATTGATAACGAATCATGGTATTTTGAGTATAATCCGTCTACAAAACGTCCGGTCAGAGAATGATTAAGCTCGGAAGAACCAAAACCAACAAAACCGTGAGAACGGTGAAGTTGAAAATGAAAACGATGCTCGTCGTTTGACAATAGTAAACTAATTTCTAGCCAAGAAGCAGATGGCAACGATCTTGCACCCACTCCACTTGCTGGATTCAGCCCCGCAAACTCTTTTTTATTTTCAAAACTCAAAGTTCCGTTGAGGGTAAACGATATGAGTTCATTTTGGAAAAACAGTTACAAGCTGTCTAAAAGCCGTCTCAAAAATGAATTTCTCTAAGACCTTTCAAGGACTTTTGGAACGCTCAAGCTGTGTATTGACGGAGAGACAGTTTACGTAGAAAATTAAATTAATGAAATTTGTTTATTTGTAAAACTTATGCCTGTTGAATCAGTACAAGAACTTTCTGGACAAACTGTGTATAGGAATAATATTTAAACCAGTCCATAGTACGTACTTTTCAGTTAAAAATCTGAAATGTTCAAAACTCAATCAATTCGAAAAGCGCTGCAAAAAGATTTAAAAATATCCGATTGTAAAGCGCCTATTTTAAACATACTCCTTTTGCAATTTTTCAAAGAGTAAGAAGAGATAGAAGAATATTTTTAAAGATTATGAAAATTATGACGAATTGAAGTATAATAACATAAAGAAAATGTTTACTTAAAAACTAACACGATTAAATTTTTTTTTCTTCTCAACGTGATTCTTTCTTTTCTAAATTTTGCATATACAAAATACTATGGTGCATTAAAGGAGAATTATTTATAGTTCAACTGACCATGAACCTTGATGAATTTTTTCGTTGTCTTAATGTCGTAAAAACTTGCGATTCTGCATTCGTACCAGCCTTCATCCTCATCCCTCACATCTTGTATGATCAATTCGTTATTAGCTCGTAGAATTGCACCCATTTTTTTACTATAGGAATGTTGTGTTATTCTGCTGCTGGTCTAAAATCGTGCATTAAATTCATTTTCTATGAAATTGTAGTCAAACCAGTACGACTTGCGTAGAAATGAACGAATGATTCGCCGAACCTGCTGCGGTATAGTCCAATTGAACACGTATTGCATGTCTGCGTCAACTTCCGTGGTACAGATTACGTGTAAAGGTTTTCCTCGTATTACGTGACGCAAATTGTCATCTATAATTTGTGGCTCGTTCAACGTTTGGTTGCCTGAAATCGAAATGAGAATTTTAACTCATCCAGGACTGTGCAGTTTCGTTCAAGAAAATTTCTTCCGATTTAATCAAAATTAGTATACCAGAATTCCCTTTAGGATAACGTATTTTTAATGGAAACATTATCAATAATACGAGCCGTTTTTTTTTTAAAGTGGTATAAGTCCATTTATAGCTAAAAAAAAAAACTTGTTTTCCTTTAACAATATTAATAATTATTATCACATAATAAAGTTTAACATGTTTACAATTTTAGAAACATTAGACGAAATTATCAACGTTTGCCAATATTTTTTTTAATTAATTCAAACGCGAACCCTTAAATATCTCAATATAAGAATAAATACACTTGAGTATACGACTTTAAAATAAAACGGCTCATATATTAAAGTTAAATATTCTGAATTATTATGTTTTTTTATTTTTGCGATGGTTTTACATGAAAATTACAATTAGAATGTACATATATAAAAAGTAAAAAGTTTAAGAAACTGTCTCCAACATTTTTAATCAACAACAGATTATTATTAAAAATGTCCAATCGATAGAAAAAAGGTGGTTCCTTCTACGGTAAAATCTACTAATTTTAGCAATGCACTTTTCGCAATATAAAAATAATCAAGTGTAGATGTACTGTGTATCGATAAAAAAATAAAGATTAGAAGAGTTATCCCTATGTGAATGTTGCGCCTAGTCACTTTCAAAGGAGAGAGAGAGAGATAAATTAACATCTTCTGTGGAGCATACTTACGAACCACCGCCAAATGATAATTGACCTCGTGTTTCTCTTCGCCCTGTTCTACCAGGCATTTATAGTATCCACTGTCTCTAAGTGTGAGATCCCTCAGAGTGAAACCAATTCTCGGATTAAACGATGCTTTGCTGGTGTGCTGTGTAAGTGAATTAGTCTTTAATTGTACAATATTAATTGTTATAACACGATTAATACATATAATTTTTGATTTACGTATTTCAAAAACCGTAAAAGGATTCCATTTTGATTTACGTGTGTATAATCGTACAAAACAAATATCTCTGTCCACATCCATATAGTCCAGGACAGAAATATGCGGAAACCTTTACAAACAGAATAACTTTTTTAAAATTGGACCATACGACTTGAGCTTTTTATAGACGCTAAAAGGATTAATTTATTACGTGACGTGTGAAAAAAATCTTGAGAAAATTCTAATTGGAATAATATAAATATTATACTGTGAATATTCAAAATATTAATTTTTGCTCAGTGTCCGAATATTTGTGTAACATAGTAATTGGACCAGTACCGGATTTACGTATAAGCTAAAAGAGCTACAGCTTAGGGCCTCACAATCTGCCGGGACCTCGAATAAAAAAGCAAAAAAATATAAAAATTGATATAAAAACATCTCGTAGAAAAATCACTCAAATGAAGTGAGACTTATTACTATGATAATTTCTAAATAATAATTTTGAATATACAAAATATAACATTAAAATAATTTTGGCGCATTGTAAATGTGATTGAGATATTTTGTCTTCTTTTTTTTCAAAAGCATTTATTTGAGAGTTTTTAAAATGTCGGCTAACTTCAAAGGGTATCTATCCAATAAGATTAATTTTTTATATGTACACTACCAATTATGTTGTTATATGAATTTAATTTTTACCTTTTATTTTCCTATTTTAATTGAAAATTTTCTGTTCTATGAGCCTTATTTGTCGTTTTTAAACCCCTTTAATTATTTCTGTGATTTTGTAAACACATCCTTTATTATTTTTTTAATAAAAATTGAAAGACAATATATTTTCATATATTAAAAAGGCGTATATATTTTAAGTTTTTCTGAGACCAGCTGATCTAATTTAAAACAGTAGGGGGCCTCTGGGTTTTGTATAGCTTAGTGTCTCAGCAAGTCTAAATTCAGCCCTGAATTGGACATAATTTCGAATAATTTGTATTACAATGTCCTATACGAAAATGCATTAAACTAACAATACGTAATTTTAAAGTACAATGGATAACGTTTCGTAACGAAAAGGCATCAACCCAATCCTTTTATAATTAACCAAAGTGCATTACCAGAAAGACAAGCTGATGTAAATAGTGTCCGAATGTTTTTGGGAGTAACTCTATCTCTTGACTTAAAGCGTACTTTATTCTTCACAGATGAAAAATAAAGGTCTAAGCATCTTATGTTTACGTTAATAAAAAAAAAACGAAAAATGGCAATGAAAATAGAATAGAAAGGCATTGTTTAACAATGGGAGTTCGTCATAATGAACAACGCGTATGTGAAACTTACCGTGTCATCGAATGAGAGATGGACTGTGAAATTGGGCGACGTCGTTCTACACGGTATTCTGCTGGTTCCACCGATGCGACCACGCAGTGAAACAAAAGAATCCGCCTGTACGAATGCACTTGTATTCGCTAGAACAGAATAACCGGTGTATAAATGGTAAATTGATACATCATAGTTTTATCACTGATTTACAGAATAATCAGCAAGTGTTGGCCACTTAACTTGAACTACATAATCATATAAACCTTGTTGAAGTATTGCAAAAAAAAAACAATTTTACTTTTACTTTCAATTTGAATACGCTTTCATTTTTAATTTAAGTTAATTTCATCGGTCAATTTTATGGATAAAAAATTAATTCTCGGTATTTTAATTGTTTATGTTTAATTAAGAAATGTAGGGTATTAGATTAGTTAGTCGATAAATTATGACATTCAAATTTGCAATGTTTCCCACATTGAAAAAATAACAAGATTACTTTGCTTGTTCTAACAAAATTGTAGCTACTATTCCATACAGTATATAATATTATCATTAGTTATACACATTATGGTCAAAATACGAAAAATTTAACGTTGACTAATTATAATTCCCATCTATGAAATCGAGAATTATCAAGTACAAATTATATACAGGGCGATTCTAGAACCCAAGACAACATATACCTAACTCTTTTCTATGCGAAAATAGGAAAAAATAATAGACTAATAGATAAGTAATATAAGAATAGTAATTCTTGTATTCGTTTTTCGACATTTTTTCGGCAGTTATGTGATACTTAAATTTAAGTAATTAATTTTAATGCTACGTTTTAAGTCATATACAGGAGTGAAAAAGAAGTAAATAAACCTTATCTTTAAGAAAACTCTATAGGAAAAAATCAATCGAATTTAAAACCGATGACCATTGACACCAAGGCCGAAATTTCTTCTGATAAACGTCTGCTAATTGTTAGTAGCTGGTTACAATTTGAGTATTATGAGATAGGGCCCTGTCTTGTTGAAAACTTACGAAATTACGTCGAACTTGTCATGGAATTTTATCGAATAAAGTGTCTAGTGTAAATTGATGAACTGAATTTTGAATACAAGAATGAATAAGAAACGTTAGACTAAATTTTCTTATTAACTGACTGAAATGTGCATTTCTGTAAACAAACAAACGAAAAATTGTCGATAGAAAAAATTCAGAGCAAAACAACAGGTAGTGTTGTGATAAAAATACAGATACAGTAAAAGTTCTATAAGAGTTCTTTCGGATCTACGCCATGACTGTTCATGGTCTATCCCCACCACAAGTGGGGACCACCCTTGACCCAGGCAAGCGACTAATGTGACACGGCCGCGGCATCTCTTTATTGCATTCGGCGTTGGCATGTCCGTGAGACAATACTAACAAAACTACAAAAGTTTGCGACTGTTCATGGTCTATCCCCACCACAAGGGGGGACCACCCTTGACCCAGGCAAGCGACTAATGGACACGGCCGCGGCATCTCTTTATTGCATTCGGCGTTGGCATGTCCGTGAGACAATGCTAACAAAACTACAAAAGTTTGTTATTTTCAATTTTTCGTTAATAAAAATTTCATCAAAATATTGGTGAGATTTTCCTGATTAAAATGATACCAAACACGATATTGTTACAAAACTTGGTTGTGTCGATTGGGGCTTGTGAATCTTCCTTTGCTCGCTACTCATTTCACTGTTTACATCACAGAATGTAACACCATTTCTCATAACTGTGCCAAAAGGGAACCGTTATTCAGAACTAGAACTGAACCTATCCGGTTATTCTCGAATGGGACACTCTTCTTATCCGGTTATTCTCGAATGGGCCACTCTTCTGCACGATAACTGTTCGTAAGCGGCATTGCCTTTGATCAATTATCGGATAGGAAGAAACGAAATTTGATCTCTGACGAGTTTAAACGACACATAAGAATACACACAGGAGTTGTTATACTAAAGTTTACACTACTCGGGTACATGCAGTTCGCAAGCAGTTGCGAACAATTATAATTTACTAATATGTTAAAAATTTTACTAATAAAAGGTTCGTATGTGTTGAAGGTTCTCCGTGGCCAGACCCTTCGCGAACAATATTCTTATTTTTAAAGCAATACAACGTCGGGCTGCTTGCCATCCTTAAACTTTCTCCTGCCTTCTTCTAAACAATCAACTTTGTAATATCCTGTAATTTATTTAATTTCTTATAATTGCTCCTATATTTTTTAATTATGTATCATCTTAGAATTTTCCATAATGTTTTGTAAATCCTTATATGTAATGTTTTTTAGGTGTCTTATATTTAATAGATATAGTAAAGACATAATAAAGTGTGGATGTATGTAAATATGTATTAATTATTTATAGAGAGTTATTTATAAGTAACTAAATATACACCGAATTATACCGTGTTTGGTCTCATTTTAATCAGAAAAAAAAAATGGATATGTTAGTAAAATTTTTATCGGTAAAACACAAAAAATTAAAAAGTTTTTCTTTTGTATTAGTGTTGTCTCACCGATATGTAGGTGTTTGATATTTTAGGACTGGCTCGAGTTTCAATACTTCTCTCTTCTTTGTCTGCTGTCTCTTTCTGCGTCCGTCGGTAAAATACAAAGAGTTTGAGAAACCTACTACCTATTCCGTATCTGTTCCACAGCGGTCCCGACTTTGGAACTCGTATAGAACTTTTACTGTAGTGTTTAAGTAGTGGCAGAAAGATGAAGAAATATCTCGTACAGTAGTGACTTTTCAACCTCGTTGCTCTAATATCGTTATATGTGAAATGCGTGAAAGAACCGACTCGTGTAAAGAAACACATATGGCTTCATTAAAAAAAAAATAAATTGTAACAGCAATTTATTAATTCTGTAACAAACATTTCATGATAAACGTCAAATTAAAAGGCAAGAATCCTACGATTACAAACTACCAACTGGATAAGTTCAATTAATTTATTAAGTACCAACAGTTAGGTGCAATATTTAAAAATTCACTTACATTGAACGTAAACATACACCCAACTTTTGTTTAACTGTGTCGTGAGAAGGGGGTCTGAAGTAACTTGCAGAGAATGATTAGGACAGCCGTACAACCCCGTATCTCCATGTTCAGTTTCAGGTCGTTCAAACACGTATTTATACACACCATCTTTGACTTCTTCTGTTACATAGGGTGTCGATGTGATGATCTGCTATGAAAATAAATGTACTTTTAACGATACTAAACAATAATTACAAACTCTTTTGTTATCTTTCGCATTGTGTCATTATATCAATTATGTCATCCAAACAATTTGTAGTATTTCGTAATGTCTCGAATAAGTTTGTGAACAGAATTTGATTCATTGCTGAGTTTCAAAAAGAAAATTTGTATTGCAAAAATGATTGTTGAATAAAAAGGAAAGTATATTATTAATTGAAGTAAATTACAGTTGAAAGTAATTTACGTTGAATTTCATTAAAAAAGATCGATTACGAACTTTCGAAGTAATCTGATATTTCTTAAATAATTAACCATTATCTGCTTACCCCCTCGCTTGTATTGGTAGGATAAACGAACGTGATTCTTTCGAAGCCAGTACATTCAATCTTCAAGAAATCACCCTCATTAATGAGAAGCTCCTC